AGCAAATGACCTGAAAGGCAGACCCGTTTTCAGAGGTTTAGGAAACCATTCAGAATTTTACCTGAATGCATATCCATGCTCCTCCTTGAACCTCTTCTTTTCCTTCAACTGTCAGAACTCGGCCCTCAAGATTCACTGTCAGAGCGTCTGGCTTGAATCCCTTGACATTTAGGGAAACTGCCAGCTTTGAGTCATCATCAACAACCTGAAAGGGCTTGGTTGGGGGCGGACAAAATAAGAACCTAGCAGAAGTAAAGCAGCGTACCTTGTTAATTTGACCCGCTGCGGCTTCTTGATTTTTCGAATGCGCACGTAGAGCTCGGTCAATGTCGTCGAACTCCGCAAAAACGTCGTCGAGTAGACGAGGTAGCCTTGCCGCTGTCGTAGGGAACAAGACGATAGACATCGCTCACTGTAAGGAGCTAATATCGACTGAGGGGAAGGCAGGGCGGGACCCAGTTGTTTACGCCACACACATCTAGGCACATAGGGAGTGATTACTCTGACGTTCTGTGTTTGGCTGTTTTCAGCTTCGTATCTAAGCAGCAGCAGTCTGTCAGCCACGAGCACGCCCGAGCAGTGAAACCACCGCTCGTAACTGGGACAGCGTTCCCATCACGCATTGTGGCTCACTGCTCGGGCGGTTCTCAATAGGAAACCTGACTTCCATTCCCGCTTTTCTCTGATTTATAAGGTTTCCCATCACTCAGAATTTGCTCAGGATCTTTCCTACGACTGCTATATGATCCTTTTGAAACTTCTCTTCAAATTGCTGTTCGAACTCGGTTTTCGTGTGCCACACTCGATCGATAAGTTTTTGTTATTCACCTCTTTCCAGTAACTTCCTACCTCGTCGCCAAGTAGTAATGGAGTTGTTGTTGGTGAATCCGAATCTGATGAATCGCGTTATGTACGATGCCATGAGGGACATGGATCAAGTGGAAGAGAGCATTTTCCCGTACTGGAGAAACGCGGATCATTCAGTACTTCATGTTGCGGATGATACTGTAAAGGTGCATATTTCATGTCGCATAAGCAGACCATTAGGTACCAAAAAACATGCACTTCCAGGCTGTCGATGACGACGAGAAGTTCGCGGTCTCGTTGGATGTCTCGCAGTTTCGCCCAGAAGAGCTGAATGTGCACTTGGATGGACAGAGTACTGACCGTTGAGGGCAAGCAGGAGCACAAAACCAAGAACAGTTCAATGCATAGGTAAGCCCTCGTTAAACCATCCTTCTGTTCTGTTCTGGGTCCTTATTGACGCCGTTTAGATCATTCACCCGCAAGTGGAAGTTGCCCAAAAATGTCGATTTGGAGGCAGTACGTACACAAGTTGACAACAAGGGCCATTTGTCTGTGGAAGCGCCGAAGCACAATAAAGATCATCCGAAGAAAAGAAACATCCCCATCACGGCAGCTAAATCAGCTTCATCCACCCCATCTAACCATAAAAAATGAAAACTATGAGAAGTAATTTCCCTTAAACTACCTCCGCCCACTGCCTATTTAGGAGGTGAACGAAATTCCTGAAATTCTTTGTATATTCTCTAAAATACATAGTTACTCATTTCGATATCTTCTGTAATTCGCCTATTGCGATACAATAAATGTTCATTATTCATTATAACGCACTGCGAGCTGTAGAATAAAGCCACGTGCGCCTCCCAAGTATTACTTATATCGGAAGACAGCACAGTATGCATTATTTCTTACTGACGAACGCCAGCGTGTGGTTGCGGAATACGCGCGCAAACGGTGGAGCCCTGGGTGAGTTAACTATCACACTTGGTTATGTTTCTCTGTGGAGCTCTGACGGAACGTCGGAACCGCTAGAGCGGATAGGGCGCTTGGTGGAGTAGAATGTAAACATCAACCTTGAACCACATTTAGGCCTCTGAGGACGACGATTTGTCGAAACATTAGGCCATAATGAACCCTAATGACACTAAAATAACCACAAATAGTTAATATCAGTTTTGTCAGTATCCCTAAATACTAACAGCTTCAGTCTGTGGCTTGGATGGAATCAGAATAGCCTAATCCGATGCCAGGTACCAAGAAGGTCCCTTTGAGGACATAAGAGATTTTTTAAAATTTTTTTGTAAACTTATATACTTTGTGTACTTTTTATTATAGAAGTAAGTGCATATAGCACGGAGGCGAGGTCCATTTTCCTCCTGAGCGGCTGTCTCAATACCAAAAAACGAGCAAAAAAATTTGTCCAGAAAGTGTAGTTTTGATAGCCTTCGAGTGGTGTTGAGATCATATGCATAGAACTAATTAAATATCAAAAGTTATCGTTTAAATCTATTAAAAGATGTGGAGCAGATCAGAGTCTATCGAAGCGGAGTTTTGCGAACGTGAAGAAAAGTAGGGATCGTATAAGGTATGGGTCGTCCCAAGTTAAATATCTCCCAATGTTCTGCCTGCCTCTCTGCAGAAGCTACTATCCGCTTTCACTTTTGATGTTTACGTTGTCCCGAATACTTTAGCGCCACTCTGACGTTGCGCTGATGAGCGGATGAGCAAGTATATCAGACCAAGAGAAATGATCGCTGGTGGAAAGAAAACATAAAAGAGAGAAACAGAACAGAGTGAAGATCCTTAGGTAGGCACAGGTTACTTATCGTCAGAAGCCCTTAATATTAGCGGTGGCCCTGGGCCAATCCATCAGAGCTTCAGCGCCCAACGCAGCTGATTGTGAGGTCATTCTGCAATAAGAAGAAAGGAAAAACTGAGAGAGAAAAGCAAACGGGGCACGGTTGGGTAGAATCCTATTTTTTCGGATAAAAAAAACAAATATGTCTAATATTCCTGAATTCCAAAGGATCTTATCAACTCCACGTTTCGGCTAGCGCTTTTCAGCTGATCATAAGCGTCCTATTTGCACTGCAATCTCAAAAGATGGTCTGGCACCTCGCAAAGCAGGCAAACTTTGTTGGTTGTGGGGGAAAATTATCGGATTTTATCCAAAATTCTTTGCCGTTGCTTATGATAGCCTGATCACATACAGTGCTTTAGCGAGGTAGAAGTTAACAGCGGTCAACTTTCCAACACTCAAGGGTTATGACACAACAGCATAACCGTTCGCTGCTTTTTGGAGGGACGAGTCTGGTCAGATTGATACGTTGTTTTGCTTGAAAATCAGGCATGGAGTGGGGAACATTAGTGAGGAGAAAAAGCAAAAAGCACCATAGAAAACACTAAATTTCCCTTAGGAGGCCGGCCGTAGTATGACGGAGAGACACAGCGCTGCGAGGAGAGGGAAACGAGATAGTACGTCGTACGCGAGAGGGCGCAGACGACCACGTATGCCGCGATTGATAAGGATGGCAGCACGCAGCACAAGGCAAGGCCTTAGCGCCGTTGCCTCGCACTTTTGAGTCGCGACAGTGTCGTGCCTCTGCCCTTGGGACCCCTCTTTCTCACTCTAGAAGGGACTGGCTCTGGGACCTAATGCCGACTCGTGGCTTTAATCTTTGAGCTTTCGATCTCCAGCCGCTGACAATTCTGCACGTGTGGCAAAGAGGTGATACTTCATGTTCCCTCCTTTCTTCACTTCTAAGTCATTTCGAACCCTGCTTTCATTTCGCAGCAGGAGGCTGATTTGAATGGTCTGAAAGTGCACATGTCAAGAACTTCCTCATTCCCCATGACTAATTAGTTATACAGAATGTTCCACTTGCTCAGCAAATGATTGCGCAGGGGAGGGAAAGGACGGCTAACAGGCGCAAGCCCGGCATGGGGAGGCCACCAAAAATTTCAGGAGGATCATCAACGTTGGGGACCATATGCCACTACAGTTAAAAACGCGTCGGCGATGTAGATACTGCGCGATGTCAAAGAAAGAAACTCGTACAAAAATAATGTGTGCTGCTTGCAACGTGCCCTTGTGTATATCATGTTTACTCCGTACCATTCATAGACCATATAATGTGACCTTTTCAAACTTTTTTTTGTGAAGATTTCAGGGCCGTTGAAGACTTTAATATTGTAAAAAATGTGTGTTTGTAAGCTCATGTTGCCTCATTATTCAACAAAACAAATCTATCCCGATAGCGAAAGTGTATACAGACGGGCCGCTACTCGCGCGCATGGTCCCTAGATCAAATCCAGGTCACACCCAACGTACATCAGCCAAATTTCTCCAGCTGGTGGCCTGTTGCTGGGAGGGATAATTGCAACGCAGAACACATTTATAGCTCGATTCTAAAAAAAGTCGTAGTCTAAGGGTTAAAGGACGAATTTACGATGGAAAAGCAACCCATTCCAAATTGAGGTAGAGATGGTGAGTAGTACCAGAAAGAAAGCGAAACCACGAAAAACGGCCCAGAACCGGAGAAATGGGACCCCTTCCTTGTCCGTTGATTTGAGCATTGATGGGACTCTCTCATCGCTTTGCCCTCTTCAACCCTACGCTCTCTCAGCTATCTAATCACTCGCCACCTATTGTACTACGGCGAGTGATCAGACGATCGGTGGGCGGAGATCGCCGAACTCGCCAACTTTGAGCCATGCTAGATCTCAGAGGTCAAATCTTTCGATGCCGATTGCGTGTCTGTCCGCACCCTCAAGAGATTCACCGCTCTCCCCACTAGGCGATTTCTCCCTTCTTCGACCTTCGTTCTTTCCGTGCAATCCTCCTTTAATGAAAGTTGTGGTGTCCAAGTTACGGGCAGCGATAACGATAAAATGGGAGCGCGTCGCGGAAAGCATATACACCACACGAATCAGTTACCTGGCTGCCAGGGAGTAAGGTGTGAGCGCTTTGACGACGAAAGTGCGGCCGGTTGCTGAGCAGCACAAGCACTCTGCCCCCGAAGCGATCCGCCCACGGGTTTAGTTGTGATTTGGACGAGCTACGTTGCCAGCAGCTGCACAACTAAAATACATCGACCGTAGCATGGATTGGCATGCTGTCAGTAAACGTGTTGCGCTGACTCCTTCACACGTGCGCTTTTTGAGCAGTTATCTGTTCATGAGTGAAAACTAACGGCCGGAAAGGGGGTCCCGTTTTGCGTTTTCTTGACGAATTTCTCCGCTTTTTTCGCTTCTGGCGTACCACCTAGCACCATCCGTCTCCCATAAACCCTCTCAAATCTATCGTAATCACTGTCTTTATAGTCGACTTCAAAATAAACGGCTCTTGGTGCAACTTAACTTCGCAAAGAAATCATAAATGTCTCTTAGAGCACTAACCACATTCTCGAATTCATCCAACATAAAGTTCACTTCCTGGATTTTGCATGTTTTTTACCCACGTCATCCCTGCGCCTACGCTCAAAACAACGGCACAAGTCGCACCGCACAACTGTTTTTGTACCCCCGAAACAAACGCATCGATTTTTCCAACCGGAGTGAAGAGCAAAGAAACCTATCCTTCTGGACATTCACTTCGAAATC